GCAGAGCCAGACAACAAAGCTGGTTTCCCAGGTGCTGGGAGGGGGGAGGAGGAGAGTGAGGGCAGCACCAGGAAACCCACAGTCCTTATCCAGGAGGTTCATTCCAGTCCTAGCCCTGCCCCGCCCAGGCTGGGTGACGTAGGGCATGTGATTAACCTCTTTGAGCCTCAGTGAAGTGGGTGGTGGGGTCAGCATCCCTGGTGCATGACTGCTGTGAGGTGAGAGGAGGTGAGTGACAGACCCCAGCATGTGCCTCACACACAGTAGGTGCTCATTCAATGGTATCTTTGGCCCATTCACGTCATGAGGGGGAGAAGGACGCCTCTGACCTTTCATGTCTGATTCCTTTCCAGGAGACGTCCCCAAACCCTCCATCTGGGCTGACCCAGGCCCCATCGTCACCAACAAGAGCTCTGTGACCCTCTGGTGTCAGGGGTCTCTGCAGGCTAGTGCCTACATTCTATATAAAGAGAGGGGCTCTGAGCCCTGGGAAACCAGGATCCCACAGGACTCCAGCAACAAGGCCGGTTTCCTCATTGAAGCCACAACCCAATCCCATGCAGGGCTGTACCAGTGTGCATATTACACCACTGAGGACATACTTTCAGAGCGGAGTGACCCCCTGCTCCTGGTGGTGACAGGTAAGGGAGACACCGGGTCCCCTCCCCACTGTGGGCTCCAGGTCACAGGCAGAGAGAATACAGTGTGGCCTCAGGGGGACCCCATCCCTCACAGAACACACCTGGGGCATGAGGGTGATGGTCCCTTTAACACAGACCCTTTCTCCTCCCTCAGGACTGGGCGGTGCACCCTCCCTCTCAGCCCAGCCAAGCCCTGTGGTGGCCTCAGGAGTGAACGTGTCCCTCTCCTGTGGCTCTAACCTCACAGCAGGCCCTTTCCATCTGCTGAAGGAGGGAGGGGCTGACCCGCCCCAACACATGGAAGCAGAACCCAGGACCTATGATGGGAGGAGGCAGGCCATCTTCCTTCTGGGCCCCGTGAGCCCCTCCCATGGGGGGACCTACAGATGCTATGGTTCTTCCAGCTCCTACCCCAACGTGTGGTCACAGCCCAGTGACCCTCTGCACATCGAAGTCACAGGTGAGCGACAGACCCGGGGGCATCCCCATCTGTTTCCTGGGCCCAAATACCTGATCTAAGCTGTGTGCACTGGGGATCCCTGGGCTCATGGGGGTCAGTGAAACTGGCCTCTTGGGGACAGAACCACAGGCGGGAGGCTCAGGTTTGGGACATGGGAGACCTCTCACTGCAGCCCAGTGGGCGGTGTGGGGTAACCCTGGGCACCACTGTCCCCTCCTCCCAGGTGTGCACAGGGAGCCCACCCTCTCGGCCCAGCCAGGCTCGCTGGTGCTGCCTGGACACAACCTGACCCTCCAGTGCCAGGCGGAGGCCGGCTTTGACACATTCGCTCTGACCAAGGACGAGGGGTTCACACCCCCCCAGCGCCTCGATGGGCAGCACAGCCCCCACTTCCCCCTCGGCCCCGTGAGCCGCACCCATGGGGGCCGGTACCGATGCTACAGTGGACACAGCCTCTCCTCTGTGTGGTCGGCCCCCAGCGCCCCCCTGGACATCCTGGTGGCAGGTGAGGAGCCAGCCCTGCCCCTGTCCTGAGGGTCTGCTCAGGACTCTGGGCCCAGGGTCACCTGGGGGTGATGGGGTCCAGGAGAGGGGCCTGGAGCAGAGGCTGAGCTGGGCAGAGGCCTAGGGGAGGGAATGAGAAAGGGGGTGAGGCCATGGAGATGAAAGATACCACCCAGGGGGACTGAGAGGAGCTGGCAGGGGTCACAGACAGAGTTTCTGGAGGACAAGGTCCCTCAGCTCAGGGTCAAGGTCAAAAGGGAGGGGTGGCTCCCTACACATCACAACCTTCCTCTCCCCAGGAATGTACAGGAAACCCTCCCTCTCAGCCCAGCCGGGACCCTCAGTGCCCTGGGGAGTGAACGTGACCCTGCAGTGTGTGTCTGAGATCTGGTTGGACACCTTCCACCTGCACAGGGAGGGGTCACTGGACCCTCCTCAGCACCTTCATCTGCAGAACACGTCTGCACCCTTTCAGGCCACCTTCACCCTCAGTCCTGTGAGCTCAGCCCACCAGGGGACCTACAGGTGCTATGGTTCAAACAGCACCTCCCCCTACCTGCTGTCACAGCCCAGCGACCCCCTGGAAGTGGTGGTCTCAGGTGAGGAGCCCCAGCCCCACCCCTGTGTCCTCAGGTCAGTTCAGAGCCCAGTTCCCAGGGAATCTTGGCTGTAATGGGTGTGATGGGGTCACAGAAGGAGGGTCCCCCAGAGGGGACTCTCACCTCCCAGAGGGATGGCAAGAGCCAGAGCCCCTCCTATCCCTGCCTCATCCCCATCCTCCTCCCTGAGGCCCAGACATGCTCCTGTGGGCAGAGGGATGCTGGAGAGGATGGGGCTGACCAGAAGGAGAAAGGCCAGAGGCACCCATCCCCACCCTCCAGTCCCCAGTCCTGTGACCTCAGCCAGAGAGACCAAGACAAGAGTGTGACCAGAGGAGGCAGATCCCCAGAGAGAGCAGGACCCCCTGCTGGGGCTTAGCCTGTCTCCCAGGGGGGCTCGGCGGGGGGGTGGTTGGAGATGCTGGGGGACCACCAGGGGAGGAGCAGCCCTCACCTCTCACCTCCCATCCTGATTGAGGAGCCTCTGAGGATGGGTCCCCCAACGGGAAGTCAGGCCCGCAGAGGACTCAGTGAGGGTCTGGGGGGAGGTGGTGGGTGGGAGGAGCTCAGTGTTGGTCTTGGCTCAGCCACTTCCTGGGTAATGGCTTGAGGAAAGTTCCTCCTACTCACTGGGACCAAGTTCTCCAAAGGCTGTTAGGACAGTGTGCCCGTGTCTGTGTGTGCATGCTTGTGTGTTGGGGACAAAGGTGGTGTCTGAGTCTCCTCCACAGCCTTCCAAGGAGCAGCCTCAGCCCTGGTTCCAATCCCAGCTCTGCTCCTTCCCGCCTGTGGGACCTTGGACACATCTGTTCCTCTGAGTCCTGGTCCATGGGCTGTGGGTCAGGTCCCCACCTCCCTCAAGGGGAAGGCACTCAGCACGCAGCCAGGCCCTGGTTAGAGCTCAGGGATGAACCAGGCCTCTCTCCTGCCCTTCCCGGAGCCACCCCACGTGCACAGGCCCCACTGTGGGGGCGGGTCAGGCTGCAGAGTGAGACAGGGATCTGGGCTGGGATGGAGAAGGGTGGTTCTACCTGCAGGGACAGCATGAAGAATAATAATAGTAATAACAATAATAGTAATAATGCCCTGACCATTTCTGCTCCGTGAGTTAGAGCATCAGCCCTCGGACTAAAGGGTTGCAGGTTCGGTCCCTGGTGAAGGGCACATACTTTAGCTGCAGATTTGATCCCCCACCCTGGTCAGGGCACATGCAGGAAGCAACCAGTCAATTTGTTTCTCTCACATCAATGTTTCACGCCCCCCTCTCCCCTTTCCCTGACTTCCACTCTCTCTCTCTCTAAAGATCAATGGAAAAAATATCCCTGGGTGAGAATTTAAACAATAATAATAGTAACAACAACACACAGGGATCCCCCTGTTTCAGGTTCCAGTCCAGCCCTGCCCCACCCAGGCTGG